CTTTCTTGTGACTTGTTTATCTTTGCTCTCTTTCAATCTACCACACACAAATCAATAGGTGTGGAGTAACAAGATCCTCGGGGACAAATTCCTGAAAATAACATAAGAGCACTGGAAACAGAAGTCACCAGATACCCAGAACCATCCGTAGGTCAGATCAGAGCATCACGTTTTCCCCACTAGAAAACAATATAGCTCCAGAAAGACCAGTTTGGCACGTGCCATTACTGATGCGTCCTACTAGCTTTCGTAATGTCATGGTTGGGGTTGTGTGTTCAGCTAATGGTTGAATAAGGCAGGATATAAAGGCCAAATCCAGTTGTCACTTCCCTTAATGCTTAATCCTGTTCTGTACACAGTTCAGTCATTTATGGGAGCGACAAGCACATTCTACAACCAAATTAACTCGCGAGTAATGCAGGTAGTGACAACCGCATTTACAAAACTTCTATGAACTGAGCTGAATGACTAGTTGCTAATGACATATTTAAACGCATCAGAGATGTGTCTCTCTTCTGTGTGCAAGGATGCAACAGGGAAAGTGGTACAAGTCTTGACTCGTTATGGTTTAAATGTTGAGAGGGCAGGTCAAAAATTTGAACTACCCGCAGTACTAACAGTATTTGTGATTGAACAAAAATAGTCATGTTATACAGTATACCGAGGTACCTCATGAAAATACTTGCACCGAAGAAAAAAAAAGAAAAAAAAGGACCTAACCAATATTTCCAAGACAGTTCAAGTAATCACACACTGTGACGATAATGTGTTGCGGATTGCGTTACGTTCCCTAGAGGCTCTGTAAGTATTGCTTGAAATGGAGCATCTCCCCAAACCAATTACACCTCTCTGTCTCTCAGAGATTTGTTAGAGGGGAATTTCAATGACTTTGAAGCACAAGGGGTTTGCTCTGTGGATACTGAGTTACTGCACAACTGTGTAATAATAGTAGGCATCAATTCTGTTCACACAGAGTCTATCCAAGTATTGATAGTAATAATAATTTTAAGACAAACGTGGTCCAAAAAAGTTGCTTTTAACTCAAACAATATCCAAGGCAAACATTACCCATACTCATTAATAGAGCTTTTCACACTGCGCTTAACCCTGGGTTATCATCGTTCTAAACACCGCTTTTAACCCCGGGTAAAGGAACGTTTCACACTTGTAATTTAGAAGAGGGGTTAGCACCGCTTTTTAGTTTTACCCAGGGTTACGAACCCCTGCGCAGGGGCATTTGCGGTTCAAACTTGTACAGTGTGAAAAGATGCGCCGTTAGAATGTTAGAAGCTTAGCAACGGACAACCAATCGCGTACATATTTGCGTGCTTTAGACAGTCAAGGAAACACTTCGCATTGTTTATAAAAAGTCAATTAAAGCTGCAGTCGGCAAGTCTGGCCGATTGAGTGGACTTTGGCAAAATTTTGAATGTTTACAACTCTCATGCCCCTCCCCCACTATCAACTAATACCCTCCCACCGAGGTTCGTGCTCGTCAGTGCGTGTGCACATGATTTTCTGTGAACGCGCCCGTCTCATCAGCATCCATCAACACCATGGAGTATTTGGAGGTATGCTGTCCTGGCTAATCTACCGATAGATTGCAATTGCTAACGTCATTTATACTCTAAATGAGCTTACTTGATTTTCCGCCATCACTCTTCGTTACTGCGCGAACTTCCGCGAACTTCAGGCGTGTGCATGTGATTGTAACGTGCGCGAGGGGTGGCGTGTGCCCGACCTGTGATTGACAGTCAGATCTCACACCCCCCTGCGCTGATTGGACCCGATGATCCGGGAGCTGTGGATTTTTGCAAAACAAATAACACGCTCCAGGTGGAGTTAGAAGCTCTGGTTTTTTTCTAAAACCACTTTATTTATGTTGTTCTGTCAGATTATAGTGTCGATTTCACTGAATATGATCAAAAAAATGTTGCCGACGGCAGCTTTAAGCGTTTGAAAGGGAAAATGTCAAATGCTGACAGAAAATGCGACAATTTGAGTGAAGAGACTGTTTCATTCTTACCTTTATAGTCCGAAATGTCCATTCAGTATAAACTCGATGGTACAGTCAGCAATACGAGGATGCGCAGCGCTACAGCTTTTATGTAGGTTGCGTGCTGCGTTCATCCAATCAAAGACACTGACACCGCAAATATGAATGTTTACCCAGGGTTTAGGAATGTACAATATAAAACGTCATTAATTGTTAACCCTGGGTAAAATTATGATGGCGATGAACCACTATAGATTGAACACGTAATACGCATGTTGTGTTTTTGTCATTTACACAGAGACTTGCACTGTGAAACCCGTTTTCAAAAGTTTGCGTTTTCAGCCACCAAAACGCCGTTGTCGTGTAAACGAACGGCCGAAGCACACAAGTAAGCAATGAGGTACGAGAGGCTGTGCTGTATCGTGAATAAGTCACGGGTGAAGGGCAAAGCGGAGTGCCTGCAACCCCTTCAGCCGTGACTTATTCACGATACAGCACAGCCTCTCGTACCTCATTGCTTTTATAAAACGGTTCCCGCCCAATACAAATATTAAAGCCGAAAAATATGTATCTATGCAACTTTCATGAAATAAAATCACTCCTTACGCTGGAAAAAATAGTCCCTGACCGTAAACAGCAACAGAAGTTACATACATTATTTCGACGAATAGATGGCGGCAATGACTGTCTTAATGAGCGAGTCAGTCAGTACTAAAGACATTTACATTGAAAGGACTCAAACGTGTGATCACGGACAAGGAAGACGCAACTGACAAATGACTAGGGCACGGAAAAACCCTTTACTGTTAAAAGGACAAGATATCGCAGCGGACATTCAAACAGATTTTTTTATTATGAATATCGGACTGACCTGAAGGAAAATGCCATGTCTACTGTAAATGCAGGTACACTCGCTAACTCGATCTCTCACAATACGGTACTCTACTCTAGCTTTAATGAACAATATCAATGAGATCAAACATGTGTTTAAGTTGCTAAGAGTGGTTGCTAAGGGTGTTGTGTAGTGATACATAGAACCGCTGGGTGACGCAGTCATAGCCGTGTTTTATCATCAATAAAACTCAGTTAGCCGTGTCGGTGGAAAAGGGGTATCGGAGCATGAGACTGTAGTCTACGTTTTTGCCGTAATTTGACATAATTCTCTATGCAGGAAAAACCCAGAGAACCTAACATTGGATTAGATTCATTAGGATTGACAAAAAATTATTGCATGTAATCATACCTATTATGGAAATGTAGTAAGTCGTTATTCATTTATTCCATGAGTTAGTGTCCATTAACTGGGAGGTTATGTAGGAAACTCAGAAGGGAAGACCAGGAGACTCGGTTGTATCTTCAGCAGGGTGTTCTTTATTGAGAACACGAGCTGTTGGTGGCGGCGGTCATCAAGTCTAACTAAGGAAATTATACATTGTAGTTTATATAGATTTTAGGAGACAGTGCTTAGAAGTGGAGACAAAGCACCTGGGCGACAACCTTAAACACAGCATGCAAATTAAGTATCCAGTTATAGGAACCCGCCCCAGACTCTAGATTGTTACCAGTCAATATATAAAGTATAATTATTCAAAGAATGGGACAGGGGCTCCAAGAGCCATTAAAGTCCCCATGAATTCAAAATTGACCATACTTACCTTGTTTGCCTAAATTGATCGTTTTGTGGTGAACAGTTCATCCATGCAGGTCAATCCACACAAAAACATTTTTTGGCTTCGTAATCTTTAATCAAAATCTGAAAATTCCCGTCCCCTCTGCATTGGAGGACCTTCCTCTGATGACGTAGGTTTGACGGTTTAAGTGTCTGCTTAACATCCGTAACCACGCCCCTCCAACTGACAGACAGGCTCCCTGTGTGTTTGCGAGCATTGACAGCGTATGAAAGGAGAGATGCCGAGAAGGTGCATTTTTGGTTGTGGCACACACGGGTTAGTGAGTTACACGCAGGTTACTATCATAACGGTTAAGGTTGCAGCAGTAATAGCAAATAAAAATAGTTATATAATTCCAATTAGTGTTACCAATGGGACACATCGAGATGCCCACCACATTAGAACCCCTTCGCATGTAACGGCTCAAACATGTAAGGTCTGATTCCCCCCGTGACGAAATGATCCTCCGTGTGCTCCTGTTCTTCTTCATCTTCCTCCTCCTCCTGCTGCAGGAAGGGGACTGCTGGCGGTGTTTCAGGCGGCGAGTAATCCTCAACAACCGATTGTAAACTTGCCTTAAGATCTGCCTCCATTTCTGAATGAAACACCTACTTTTCTAGATCCAATCAGGTGCTAGTTGGAAAAAAAAGCCACGCCCACTATTTTGCCTAATTTAGTATTCCGTTTCTCTCGGAAATACATCACAGCACTGGAGAAAAGTCGTTTGCAACTTCCGGTTCACGGGAACTTTAAAGACAAAGGGGATTCTCAGTAATCTGACTCATTTGACTTACAGTAAAGGGTTAGGACTGGAACAGGACTGGCAGGAACCTATTGCTAAAATCTTTGCTTAACCGAATCATTCCTCTGTATTTAGCCTTTAAGGTAAAGATGACGACATCAACGTACTTCCCCTTAGTTTTTCATGTGATGTTAAGCAAGACGTAGGATCAGCAGATTCTTAAATTTGTAATCCCAGTTATAAGATAAAGAGTGTTCAAGGGTTATCAGGCTAATGGCACTATTTATTTCATTGTGTAGAACGAACTTTATTCATTTTTTTAACTGAACAGTCAAATGACATTGTGTTCACACATGCATTCGACACAGATTATATTTAACACCGTGTTACACTTTGTCCCAACCAGGCATGACGTTTCCAAGTAATTTAGCTGTCCACAATGAAAGCAAAAGTGTTGCACAACCACCACAATTACAGCCACTCGGAACATATTTGAGGTTTGAAATCCAGCAATGTGTCAGTGAGATTTTGGACCTTTGAGACTTTATTTACCACCAGATACGTTTATAGAATAGTATCTTATATGTCTTACCTGTAGTGTACGTGTGTGACTGTTGGATCTCTGTAACCAAAAATCCATGTCTGAATGTCCATGGGTCTTGCATTAGGGTAGGCTATGGTCATGTCTATTACCCACTGTAGTCCTTTAGCTTTGGTACCTGAAGGTGGGCAAACAGAGACAATTCACATCAAGAGGGAAATTAAAAAGCATTTACTTTTCCCATCCAAACACAATACTTAAAGCATTTGTATCATTTGAAATTGAGTTAAATTTTAGTTTCTTACAAAAAAAAAACCTCATATGGCTTCTAAAAACTGCGCTTTTGTTTTATGTAATGACATATGGGTGAAAAAATTATAACTTTTTCATTTTTTGGGGGGTACTATTCCAGAGGCGAACAGCACCGAGCTTAACAGGTTTGATAGTCATTGTACTGAACACAAGCTACAGCATTTCAAGCGGTGAGTGGATTCTAACTTGAACATCTGATTCGCCATTGCGTTCAAGAAATCAACAGATTGTCTGTGATTGGCTACATTGCTCAACGCTGCAAAACACGATGCACAGTAAATAGAAATCTTTGACGCTCTCCAGAGCACAAACACAAATATGCACTGGAGCTAGGGGTGTGCTGTGCGATATTGACAAAAAATGATATCTCGATATTTTATGGGATTTTCTCGATAATGATTAATAGACAATTTTGCTGAGGCCATCCTTAAAAATATTCTTGTTTGCCGTAACCCGACCGACCCTGTCGAATTAGGACCGACCCAATTATTATTATTTTTTCCCTTTTAGTCCGACCGACTTGCCGGTTGTAAACTTGCATTAAGATTTTTTTTTACTCTTCAAACAACTAATACAAATGCAATAAAATAATATAAATTATATTATAGTAAGTATTGTGAATATAAATTGCGTAGGCTACGTTCTTTCTTTTAAATAAAACCCTGTGGCGTCATCTATGATGATTATGTTTACACCATTGGTTTACGCATGTCACACTATGGCCTGTGCGTTCGCTTCGTTTCATTCACGGTCAATGGTTCGCGCTCGGTGATGATGGCTGCGGCGCGGCTGCTTGTGAAATACGTCTGTATGAGCCTACATTTAGTCGCTCATTATTCGAAATTCTTAATGGTCAAATAGGAGAATAGGGAATCGATGTTAACGGCCTTTTCTCGGAGCGCGTCCAGCTCGTCATGACATGCCCACCGCGAACGCGCGTCACACAGCAACTGCAGGCTCTGACAAACAAACACACATAAGTGTGGGAAGCCAAACACACCGAAAGGGGGACGAAACGGCGCGGTGTGTTACAGAGTTCGCGCTGCGCTGACTTGTAATCTGCGTGGCTCAATGGACCGAGCCGCGAGAGTCGCGACAGACTCGACAGCGCAGGGAGAAGTGTTTGCTTGCGCCAGCCAATGGTCAGAGCGGCGCGAATTAATCTCACCAGCGCCGCGCTGACCAATAAAACAGCACATCCCATACCAAAATGTACTAAATTGCACAAAAGAAAATCGACCATTCCATAATATGTCAGGACTATACTTAATAGGCCTATAGTTTCTACAATGCGCCTAGCCATTTGACCTCACTGATTTCCGTTAATAATAGCAGATGTTTATGGGTCAAATCTCTCACTCTCTCCCTGCAACTTTTTGTTACCCTCCTTTCCTGCCCCTAGACCAGAAAGGGGGCTTGTAACAGTATGGGTCAAATGTAAACGAATAGTGCAAAACGCGCTGTTTTATTGGCCGGCGCGGCGCTGGTGAGATTAGTCATTTTAATTTATTTGTTTCCCTCTGAAAATCCACTTTCATTGAAATCTAGTGGCTTCCTCTTTTTTTTTTTTTTTTTTTTTTTTTGCCTATTTTTTTTTCCAAATGAATGCAACTGGAATTAATGCAATGAATATGTTTTTTTGACAAAGATTTCAAATTGTTTGTGGTCTATAACCTGTATCAGAATGAGGTTCGCAATAGTGCGCCCGAAGGCATGGGTTGAAGACCCAGTCAGTGACGTCACCATATGTAAATTTGTTTAAATTCATACCGACGTAATCACCATGACCAAAATTATCCTTTTTTTTTTTTACATTGAATCTTGAAAAAAAAAAAATAGACCCTTTTTTTTTTTTTTGCTGTTACTGCAAACCAAAATATTTTTAAGGATGGCCTGAGTGTGTTTACTGTGTTGGTACTTTGGCAGGTTTAGGACTGTCGTGGACAGCCGACTGCTAAAGTTGTTGATATTCTTCATACTCTGTGTGGTGGTCAGTTCACAGCAGTGACAGAAATTATTTGTTCCAATAATGTTTCAATTGATTTTTACCCAATATGGGAATTTTTACCTTTATAAAGCCATTTTTTAGACCTAACTATATGCATGCATCATCTTTTGTGTCAATTTCATAAATTTAATCAAATTCAATTATAAAAATAAGACACAATACGGCTGTTACCAATCAAATGAAATCAGTATCAACAAAATTCATCTTTGCAATATTGAATATTGATATTTAAAATTATTTAAAACAAGAAAAGATACTTTAAATGTAAAATTGAAATCGCCAGCAAGTCACTGTTAGTGAGCAAATCATTGAGATTCAACCGATTCATTCAAACGGCTGATTCATTCAAGCAAAGAAGCATTTGACTATCTTAATCTATCCTAGTCAACTGATTCGTTCAAAAAGCTGAGTATTTGTTTGAGCATTCAACAGTATACATGCATGTTTGACTACTTATTATATGTGTATGCAAGTGTTTCATATATGTGTGCGTGAATGAAGTTTGATTTAAGCCCTAGACGGCGCCTCAAATATTATCGTCTTTTCGCGTGAAATATAACCAAACTGTAGAGCGCTTCAGCCTCAATGCCATGTTTGCTGCGTTCTGAACCAAAACAACGCAGCGCGTGTGTGAAGTCATGACACATTTGCAACGAGCGGAACCGATGAGCGGAACCGATAAGCGGAATCGTTAAGCAGGCATACTAACGGTTCTAAGGAATTGGTTCACTGGGCACCGGTCTGAAGAAGAACCGGTTCTCGGGTTCCCATCCCTACATTCCACTATAACTGGTGCATTTACATAATGTCATCGATTACGCCAATGTGTCATTTTGGCCCTAGCAGAAACCATACTACAGATATTACTCATTGCAGTTTTAAAAAAGGCAAAGGACGAACTGCCATTTGGTCATTTATACACGGATCATGGGAAATATAGTGGAAGAGCCATATTAGGGCTGTCAAAATTGCTCAAAAATGACGTTCGAATATTCCCTCTAAAAAATACCCATATATTTGAACTATTCGAATATCTGGTTGCGCATTTTGTCAATGACGCGCATTACGTCAATAACAGGACAAATTAATACAAAGAGACACAACTACTTGTACAGGTAGTTTATTTAAGTTTAAACATATTTGACAACGTATTAACTTACACAAAACCAAGTAAATCAACTAATGGCCAAGACCGCAGACCTTACTCTCGCTCACATTCGCAGGCTCTCTCTCTCTCTCTCTCTCTCTCTCTCTCTCTCTCTCTCTCTCTCTCTCTCTCTCTCTCTCTCTCTCTCTCTCTCTCTCTCTCTCTCTCTCTCTCTCTCTCTCTCTCTCTCTCTCTCTCTCTCTCTCTCTCTCTCTCTCTCTCTCTATAACGGTTTAAATGAACAATAAACAAATGTTGAGTGCTTGGATCAAGAGTTTTGTGCAAGCAATTTAAGGTCGCGACTCTTGTCCTAAATATAGCAGGCTTCATTCGGTGATTGAAACAAATATTATTAACATTAATTGAAGTTTTACAGTATATAGAACCGACATTGAACGCTCCGAGCGAGCTGTGCTGTGGTAAACTGCTGCTAGCCTGCTACTATGGCTATTTTTCGAGAATTCGAGGGCGTCTGGCCACGCCCCCTTGGCGGGCTCTGACGTGTCTGATACAATGCTAGCTCATTGGCGCACACGTTGGAGGCGCCCGTGCCATTGGATGTGCAGTTGACGCAGCACAGCCAATGGGTGAGCCAGACACTCACTATGTGCTATCTGTCTCTGCAGCTGGAAAATGCGTTTTACATTTTAAGCTTCAGAATGTTGCCACTCGCAAAGCAGACAGCCGCGCCTCTGCTACCGCGGGCGTATTTTTCCACATGATTCGAATATTAATTTTCACCTTCGAATTTCTGTTTTTTAAAACTATTCGAATATATATTCGAATTTAGAATATTCGTTGACAGCCCTAAGCCATATCTGTTTAAACTTAAAAAAAGTAAATAAAATACATAAAACAAGGTTATGGATAAGAGATTGTGTTCCTTACTTTGAACTGGTGGACTTCCTTCTGTTCCCAAGATGCCGTTTTCCTGCTGGGGTCCTAAGTTCTTCAGGATAATCTGTGTGGCCCCCAGCCGTGGCAGTGTTACGTGAGTCAAGTAGGGCAAGTCATTCTTTTTGGCAAAGGACTGGCTTGTCTCTCGTCTCTTTCTCAGGAAGCCGCCCTCAGGAAACAGCACAATCCACTTCCTGTCTCTGCTGTAGTAATACTTGTCTAGGTGATCCTTCAGGTAAATTAGCTGCTTTTCTCGATATGCTTTGCCCTGTTGGTAATGCACAAGACTTGTCAATTTTGACTAAATCTCCCCTTGCACTAACAGCCATTTAGTTTGTTAGCCCCATGTACAGAGTACAGAGAGTGCAGACAAAAGACCTAGCTAGGGTTGTCAGATATTGATAGACAACAGCCTTAGTGTTAATAAAGGAAGCACCTCTTGTGCTTCCTGTTTATTACACATTCACAACCTGATTAAGAGTTTAGTTTTTCACACTGCTAAGTACACTGCAAAGGTTCTAGATTGACAACCGTATTCAAATGCAGTTGAATCAGAAACTGCAATGATTGACAGTGATAACCAACAGACAAGACAAAACGGTAAAATATATTTTTTTTAAAGTACCTAATTCAACAGTTTTTGCTGTGGTTCTGAATTTGGTACAGAGAGCAGCAATTCCTTTCTGGTATTGGTACAGACTACTGAAAATTTGGTACCATGACAACCCTAGAGCCAACTAAAAATTACAATAATCAACTCATATCAACTTTATCCATGTCCATTTATGATATAAAACATCCATATTAACTTTTAAGGGAACAGGTCTTACCTGCCTGATGAAGAAATCACCATGAATCAGGGACACAACCCCAAAATTTGTATACTTAAAAACATGGTCCATCAACCACATCATCTTTCGTACAACCTGGATAAGAACATTATGATTAGTTTTGTTGCCTGATTAAAATCTGGAACATTTTCAGTGCGACAAACCTTAAATATAACAGTACTAAGCCTAAACCGACCAGAGGTGTGCTTACCGTGCCCTTGTCCTGCAAGCACATCATTAGGGTGCACACGTCTCCTGTGGCTTGATGGTTGACTATGACCATGGCTTCATCTTCAGTCATTGGTCTCACATCGTCACCCCATTCTGTCACTAAAAAAAACAGACACATTACTCAAGATTGTCAGCAAACCTTGAGTGTTACTGAAAAAGAATATCTAAAACATTCATACACGTTATTGATATATATATGAAGTAATCAAAAGTTGTGGTCAGTTCGATTTTTTTTTTTATGTTTTGAAACAACAAGTCTTTTATACTCACCAATAGAGTAGCACGATTAATCGTTAAAAGATCTCGATGCAAACACCCACACAATCTCATTTCTAAACTATGTCTATTAAACCTTTGACAAAATCACACCGGAAATTTAAACATTTAAATCTGAGTTTGTGCAGCCGCAGACCCAGAGAAAGCGGTTAAGGCTATCCATTGAAACAGCTTCACAAACACTGTACCGTATTTCCATGTTACAAATATTCACATCATCACAGAAGTACTGGGATAAAAGTTTATAGTTTGGATATAAACACGGATGTCTAAGGAAGACTGATTATCATCAATGTTGAAAACAGTTGTGCTGCTTAATATTTTTGTGGAAACCGTGATACTTTTTTTCAGAAATTCAAAAGAACAGCATTCATTTAAAATTGGTAATAAAAAAAGCACATACGTGCTAAAAAAAAAAAAAACTTGTATTGACCCCCCAAAACTTGTTATACAATTATATAAAAATATATAATTTTAATTTTCACATTTATTTATTTATAATATTCAATCATATGTACAATCAAAGTTATTAAATTAAAGAATTTAAATGTGTGTTTATTGTAGTGTATAGGCCTATATATCCCAAAAAAATAAGTCAACGTCACATTATAAAGGAAAGCTATACAAGTTAATGAAGACACAAGATGCACTTTGTTACTGTGTTCCTCTCCTCCACTACAGTTTTGTACTATGCCCTCGACGGCGGGTTTAAAACAACCCTGAGAAACCCAGCGGATCTCTCCGAGAGGTCATGCTGAGTCTTGGCACGGCTGACGCTCTCTGCTGTTAACAGCAAGTCAAAGATCACGAACAAAATAAGTCATTACAGCAGCTCCGCCGTATCAAGCTCAGGGGTTGAGGGCACCTGACACGACAAGTTACGGGGCACCCATGTTTGCTAAAAGATACAACCAGGCCTTCTATCAACACAGAGTATTTTCTTACAGACTTCAGGACATGCGGGCTGGTACGATTTCACACTGGGACATTGTAGATCACAAAACAACTCTAAGAATGATCACAGACTCTTTCTACGAGGAAACCAGATATCAAACATTTAAAAAAAAGTGAAAAAAATTTGAATAATTTATATTTCTTGCTCATAAACACATTGTTTTTTTCCGTGTTTTTAAGCTGCGTATGATTTTCACAGATGACTGATTTGTGCTGTGTTTTGTCCCAAAGACTGTTATAAGGGCTTATATAATTTTAAGTGATATTATTATTATTAATTTTTAATAGTTTTGTTTTTAGTGTTATTAGTGAAACAAAAATCGGCACACTGATGCTCCCAAAAATATTTACTTATTTTTTATAGAAAAAAAAAATAAAATTCAGTTCAGTTGGACAACGGACACTACAATTATAAACTGAAGTTGAGGGGTGGATGATGTCCTGACCATCATGACTCACAAGATTGCATATATCACTGTTTTACAACATCATCATGTCGTCCAATGAGAGAAATAAAGAGATTGTGCTATCCATTAGACAATATCGTCTGGCATTTATTAACGCTTACCACTTCAAGCCAACAGTGATTACACCAACAAGCCGCTTGCTACTTCCACAAGACACAGCAAATGCCATTTAGGAGAAAAGCTTGGACCTTAGACAGATCACACGAGCCGCATCATCAGGCCCCTCATAATTTCATTTGCAACCAGTTAGTACAAGACCCAGATGAACAAAGACAAAACAACGACATTGCTGTGCAGTCTATTCAACAAAGCGGGGTGGGATGTGATGATCCGGTTTGACTGTAATTATCTCACATCAGCAAAACAACTTTGATGCAAATCTGCATTTCTGAGAATAATATAAAACATCCCTCCCGGGTTTTTTTTTTTGTGCATGTAATACAGGAGCTTGGTCATGGAGATGGGGGAAAACTCATGCAAACACAATGCAAAGAGCTTTTCTTTCCTTGTTAACTTTGGAATCATCAATAGTGTACGAAAAATAGGACAGAACAAAAGGGAAAAAATCATTTGGACAATAATTAAAATTCAGAAGGAGAACTTCAGTTTTATAATGTGGCCGCCATCACCCCCCATTTATTTAATCTTATCTTGCTCGCTATTTGCGGGTGTCATTTCAAATCAGAAAATGTCAAACCAAAAATCACAGTAGTGGCTAGTTTGACTGCAACTTTTATTTGGTTGCTGTACTATAGGGGTGTGCGATATCACGGTTTTTGATCGTGGACGATTAAAATGTCTCCACGATCTGCTTTTGAAGAAATATCGTAGTATCGTGCATTTTATCAGTTGCAGTTCTGGCGCCGAGCTCCGTCTCAACATACAACAAATGTTAACGCAGAGGAACGGGACACTGTCGTTCACAGAAGTTCATTATTTGCATTTGCTTTAAAGCCTTGCTGGTTAAACATGTAATTCACGTGCTGATGCGCTGTTCTGACGTGTGCTTTCTGAGCGCATACACCCGAAGCACACGGGCACTGAAAGCCTGTCTAACAGCGTCTGTTTACTGGACTACGTTACAAGTTATCTTTCGAGTCTTATTGCGCTAATATTGTCAAATACACACAAGGTTTACATAAACAAAGTTGGTTATGTCTAAAGTGAAAGCAAACAGGAAAAAAATAGAGAAAATCGGCTTGTCAAATGCGTGTATTAGACGCGTCGCGTGCAGCTCTTAAAGCGACAGTAGCCAGTTAGTAAACAAGCTGCCTCTTGTCCTTAAAGAGATAGTTCACCCAAAAATAAAAATTCTGTCATTATTTACTCACTCTAATGTTGTTCCAAACCTGTATTAATTTCTTTCTTCTGTTGAAAATAAAAGTTATTTGGAAGAATGTGGCTAACCAAACAGTTGCTGGTCCCCATTGACTTCCATAGTAGGAAAACATATACAAACATATACTATGGAAGTCACTGGAGTACAGCAACTGTTTGGTTAGCCACATTCTTCCAAATAACTTTTATTTTCAACAGAAGAAAGAAACTTATTCGGGTTTAAAACAACTTGAGAGGGTAAATGATGGCAATTAAAATGTTTGGGAGAACTATCCCTTTAATGTTAATAAAACAACAAAACACAAAGAGGAAATCACTTACTGCTCTTGACTGAGAACTTTAGTAGTAGCTTTAATAATAATCAATGTATAATTTATACAGTGAAGTCTATGTTGTGTTTTATTTTCGTATTTGTTCATTTAGCCTAATTACTTTCTTCAATGCTACTGTTAAATACCCCTACTGTAGCTGAAAAAATAAAGCACTGTTTATTTCATTTGTATATTAAGTTGTGTATGCTTAATGTGTATCTTTGTTCCTAATTCTTAAATAATGATAAAGATTTTTATCTTCGCCACTTTGGCCTAAATGTCTGCCATTCTTTTTTCTTACCTATAAGGCCTTTTTTTTAAATAGGGACATTAGTTTGGCTGTAATGCTCAGTCACTTGCAAAATAGTAAAACCAACATGAAAAAGAATCGTGATAAAATCGTTAATCGTGATTTTCCTGAAAAAAATCGTGATATGATATTTTTGCCATATCGCCCACCCCTACTGTACTATTGGTTTCTAGTATGAGTTCCAGCTCAACTTCTGTATCGAACTGGTGATTCCCGGTCTCCATTCCAACTGGTGGATGTGAATCGCGCCGCTGCTCATTTGCATCAAGCTGCTCAACTCTGTCACATCACCAACAGTCACTGTCACTCATGTCACTAGAAATTGGTAACTCCCATAGACAATAAATGACTTTAGGTTGTTTTGTCGCTGCTAATCATTATGTGAATGCCACGTCAAGGAATAGAGAATTGCACATTCCATCATTATTTACTGAACACAGAACACAATTTTTCATTCCACTGCGCTATTTTTCCATATAAACATGCGCTAGACCAGTGGTTCTCACCTCTGGCTCTTGAAGTCCACTTTCCTGCAGAATTCAGCTCCAATTAAGGGTCTCTGATCAGGGTTTTTGGGGCCGATCACCAATTACCGAACACTGGAAGCAGTATTGGCCGATACAGATCACCGAAATAAATAATACTACATGATAAATACAAGGCTTCAAAAAGATTTCTCTCTTTAGAGAGAAATCAACCTTACATACGGATTACATAATCAGAATGTTTTTTTTTTTTCAATTTGAATTGGCTCGTTTAAAAGTAGACGATTCAAGCTTTCTATGGATATATTTCTCATGTCTGTGAGGCAAGTAGCCCATACGCTGAGTTTCAACAAAGACATAGTGACGGCAAAGCATCTGGTTTGTTTCCTTTATTTTACAAAAGCAAAGTTGTGTTGTTATTGTGAGTTTACACAAATAAAAGTAGAGTTTCGAATTATGTATTACTCTTATCTGTACCAAACAAAGCCTCCACACAAACATTTTGATATGCAGCTAATAATAGCGCACATTTATCTAGGTTAACGTTAGAGAGAGTGGCCAAGTTACTTGCATGTTTCAAACGATAAGCCATATTTGAAGTCGATGGATAATAGGCAAAAGTTGGGATTCCTGCCCGGCACACTGTAATTACCACAAGGACGCGCCTTTAACGATCTGTCCCTCTCTACAATTTTGGTTGACTTAAGGCCAATTTATACTTCTGCGTCGAGTGTACGCCGTAGTGTACGGCGTAGGCTACGCACGTAGGCAACGCCGTCATGAGCATTTATACTTCTGCGTTTAGGTCTGCGTTGCTCTGCAGTACAGCGCCGAAACGCTAGTTGGCGGCGGAGGGTTTTAATGTTCCACTGTGTTTAGATTCCTCGCGGCAAGAAGAAGAAGATTCCTCGCGGCTGTTTTGAGTTTAGGTTACTACAAGCAATGGCGACTGAAAGAG